CTCTGAGGGCAGGCTGCCCTGATCTTTATTGTTTTATACAACGACAAACTGTCTCTTGGTAATATAATAGCAAAGTAAAGTACCTGGGATGATAACATGGAAATTATCTTTCAAAGGTGAAGGAGTAACAGTGGGCAAATGCATAAAGACAAATTATTATTTACTTGTTGTCAGTCTTTTGACATCACTTCAACTTACTTTTCTGTTCAAAGTTGGTTGGAAGCAGTTTGTCCCCCTTGCTTCAGAATGGGAGCATGGGTAAGAAGCTAAAGCAATACTGGAGTTTAACCAGAAAATACCAGTCCACTGCAATAATTAACAAGAACAAAACGGACTGGGGATATGCCGCATAGGCACAGTCAGAAGGGACTGGATATAATTTGTGTTCTAGGATGGGCAATACAGAGCGGCTGGGAGGTTCAGGGAAGGGGCACTGAATGGGACAGGAAAGATAGCTGTCTGGATGAGTGTGGACGCTCTCTCTTGACATGGAAAAGGGTTAAGGCAGGCTAGAGACATGCCAGAGGGTCTCAGTGTTGAACCAATGCCAAACTTGGTATCTGCAGAATTACATTAAACCCCTGCATGCCCCTACGTAGACCCAAGAAGTTGTCACCAAAGCAACTGAGCACCTCTGATCAGCAAATTCCCCTCAGAGTTTGAGTTGGGCATTCACCTTCCACATCAATTAACAGTTTAGTCTAGATGAAATTTTGGGACGTGGGGAGGCTATCATTGGAGGGGCAAACAAGACAGGGCATGTCTACACTAGCTTTCTTTACCTTTAACTTGGGGTGCACAATACATTTGTAAAGGTTGGTCTGGCTGCTTTCCACACCCTTTTCTTTACCCTAGGGAGGAGCCTAAGCCCTAACTCAAGATAAAAGAGTAATTAAAAGCAAGCCCAGAGAAGGAGAGGAGATAGAAAGAAAATGGTGAAGAAATACAATTCTTAACTCTACTATTTGAATTTGCTCTCCTCCTTCAATTCCCTGCCTAGGTTGGTGCACTGCACGCTGGAGAAACTGGCCCCAGGGTGTTGTAAATTTAGCTATCCAGTTACTAATATGCAGTAAATGTCTTAATGTTGTCATGTAACTGATATATGGGAATGACTAGGCTAATGTATGAGTTAAGTCTCGGAGCATGCCCAGTGCTGATTCTAGAAGCCCAAGCAGACTCAGACCCAGCAAAAGGCTCATTTAGTTAGTGAAGGTGCTCTCATATCTCTAAGCAACTTGACTCCTGACTCTTTGCTAAGCATTACAAGAAGACACCAGTATATGAGACAAAGCATCCATTATATGTGAGGAAAGGAGAGAAAGATAGAGAGTGTCTTCCCTTTCTCAGCGCCTGGCATGTTCTCAAAGATGCTGGATTGTCTGCCCAAGGAACTAAAGTTCTCTCTTAATCCCCAGGACAGGGACGGCATCGGCAGTAGCAGTATGAGCTTCCCCCACAATTCTCCACTAATAGATCTCAACTTTTGACACGATGGCCAGCTTCTAGAGGTGAGATGGTAGCAAGTCTCCAGAGTCCCTGTTTTGCCTTGACTATCAAGGAGGTTGCCAATATACACCAAATGTGGTGTTTGCTTTTGTGAGCTGGACACCCCTCAATAACAACCGGCTTTAGAAGTACCAACTAGCCACTAGATTGCAACAACGGTTGCTCAATAAGAATGGATTTTAATTCCCTCCAATGCCATGAAAATCAATTCGTCCTTCATGAACACGCATGCATACTGAAGTCGACGGGTTACTTAAAATCTAGGCTGGTGGCACAGAAGCAGATACGGTTTCAGCTGACATTTCACATGTGAGCGAAAACTGATAAGCTTGTCCCAGACAGTAGAAGCTGCAGAGGAGAAGGTTATTACATCAACAGGGCATAGATTATAAGTCTGAACTTCAATTGATATAAATCAGAGTAGCCAATTTATACCAGTTGAGGATCTGGCCACATATGCAGGGACACAGAGCAGGGCCAGCAGAAAGAAATTCATTGACATATGCTGCAGCAACTCCACAGAATGCAAAAACCTCCCTTGGTTTTAATGGAACTGCGTGAGTTTTGCTTTTCTAGCATGCCCAATGCCTCAGGGCTAGATTAATGTTTTGCCAAGACAGAGCTGCAAAGAGCTGACAGGCATGAAGGGAAGAAAAAATAGGAATCTCCACACTGCTCCGCTTTGAAACATGCCAGCGTTAGGTACACTGGCCATGGATTACGCTTTATTGCCATGATCTGCACTATGCTAAGTAAACGGACCTGACTTAAAAGAAAAAATCCAGTGTCAAAATTGGCCCAGATCTTTTACAAGACTGGGATTAATAATAATAAAAACAACAACTACTACCCTGTCAAGCCTGCATGCCTTTCTGGAAGGTGTGGCTTCACCCAAACACAAGTTGGATTCAGTACACGAGTAACCAGGTCAAATTTAATGGCCCGTGATATGCAGGAGGTCAGACATAATAATCTAATGGTTCCTTCTGACCCTAAAATCCATGAATCATAGAATATCAGGGTTGGAAGGGACCTCAGGAGGTCATCTAGTCCAACCCCCTGCTCAAAGCAGGACCAACCCCAACTAAATCATCCCAGCCAGGGCTTTGAATCTATGAATACCACTAACAACACATTTACATGTATATACTGCCTTGGAGGCAAGGATCTCAGAGTGCTTCATAAACTTTAATTAAGCCTCACAACACCCTTGTGCCAGAGAGGTGTCAGGTTCCTCCCAGGTGTCACATAACGGAGACCGAGGCAAGAGAAAATCCCCCAAGAGTCTCGAGGCCATCATGTGCTAGCATTATTTGCACTTGTAGATCAGTTAATAAAGAGCACCGGAAACATTTTTATTTCAGCGCAAATTTCAGCTAACACGGAGATTTGGATATATGAGGTTTTGGGGAAAAAAACGGGGGTATCATTTAAAGCCATTTAATATATAACCAAGAACCAGCTGTCCCTGAAACCTTGTCATTTCAAGAGCTCACACATTTTATTTGTGTATATGTTCCATGTCTTCCTAAAGTCCACTGCCGTAGGCTAGTAACAACGCCCTGGGTGACAAATGTCAAATGTAATTAAAGAACAGAGAATGGGGGGAAAAGAAAAAAGAAAGCTGGCCACATCCACCCTTCAGGATTATGTCCTCCAGGGCTCTGCAGTTTTTCTGGTTCATTGAATAAATCTGAATTAGAGAACCAGGTTATGAGCTATGAAACTGCTGCATGGTCCACTGTCACTGGGATGCTGCTAGCAAAACAGCACAGTGCCGTGGCTTCTTGCCAACCTGAGACAATCAGCCATGCTACCGACCACCTCTGCTTGTATCCTCTCCCTGACAGTGGCCAGCACTGTGTGAGTCAACGGAAGGTGCAACACATGCTTTCACTGCTAGCTGCAGAATTATCTGCCTATAGGGAATTTTCTTTTCACCACGTCAATTAGTGACTGGCTTATGCCCGGGAGCACGGTTGTTAATATTCAGGATTATAAAAAAAAATCATGATATAATTTGCATCAGGTCCTTAGTAGTAGTAGCAGTATCTCTGTAGTATCTGTGCACCAAACACATATATGTATATGTCAGTTCACATCCATGTATACTATTATGCCCAGGCAGCATGGCTTTCATGCAAAGATCAGTAGCCAGGGTGCTGATAATACATGAGGAACAGCATCACATAAAGCAGCCAGAGATCACTAGAAGGATGTAGTAATGAACAAAGGACTGGAAAGTCATATTTTCCTCTTACCCTCCACCTTACAGCTAAAATAGGATACATGTTTTCCTCTTTCCTTCTCTCCTTTATCTCCTTCCCATGTGGTTTTTCCTCCTTCATGCTCTGTCTATGGTGCTGAATACTAACATATTTCTTGATTTTGTCTGGGTATTCCTTTTCTTGTTGGCAAATTCTTCCTATACCAAGAGGTCTATTTCACAGTTTTAAATGTACCTAATAGTCAGGTTATCTGCCCAGTGGACACATGGGTTTTCTGTTTTGCAGGTAACCAATCAGGCATTTCAATACATGCCAATGCTTCCCATTATGCTGTATACATGAAACATGACAGAAAAGAATTCCCATGCAACAGCACTTTAAGTCTTGGTTGACATTTCAGTAGGATTAGCTTTTCACTCACTGACAAGTCTATAGAATTGCTTGTCTGATAATCAAAGCACCAGGATAGCACATGTATAACAAGTAACAAAAAGAGGATTTTCAATTATTTAGACAGCCACCCTTATCCCTGTACATCTCCCCTGGATAACTAACTACCTGAATCTAACAGGGTGCCTATGGGTAGGTAACTGCCCAGGGTATTCATCAGGGACTTGCTCTACAAGAGCAAATAGAGCGGTGAGTATTTCCTCCCTCTGGTCTTCCTGCCACCATGAAATATCAGGCCAGAAAATCTGATCCTTCTACCAGAAAAGGAAATTAGTTTTGTCGGAGAAACTGCTGAGCTACCAAAAGCCCTGGTGAGTAGTTATGTTCCGTATGCTTCAGGCTGGCTCCGATACTCATGATGGACTGCAGCCTTCCCCTCTGTGAATACTCCAGGAATTTGGAGCAGTTCAGCTGCTCTCTATTCGGATTTGCAGTGGCATTCCATGTTTGTACAGCACCGAGCACAGCGGGGTCCTGATCTGTGACAAGGGCCACTCAGCACTATGGTAATACAAACAATAACAATACACCCGACTGTTTGCTTTCAAAGTCCGTTAAATAAAGCTGCTGTGGTTTAAAAGAGGCATATCCTAGTCTAGAAGAAAACCTTTGGCGGGGGGGTGCACAAGCATTGTGGAATTCCATTGCCTACCCCTCTGTCTCACGTCAGGCTCCGTGCAATACTAGCCCTGTGTGTGAAGACAGACACTCCTTACTCTGCACCATATTTTTTGCTTCAGTCGCACTGCGGGCTGTGTCTGCTGTGTAATCAATAACAGCTAACAAGGAATGATTTCAGTTTGTGGCACTTACTCGGGGTGTTCAGCAGACGGGACTTTTTGCAGTGGTAAGCCACCTCCTGTTCACAGTACTCTGCGCTGTTTATCATGGCCTCAATCTGGTCCAGACTGCTGCTGTAGTTAAAGTACATGGCATATGGTTTCTCAGGGTCAGCCCCTTGGACTCTGGTTAGCTCTGTGTTGTTGTGCTGTACCGCAGTCCAGATCTTATCTTCTGTTAAATGGAAGAAAATGAAAGGGGTGTTACAGCAAACAGGGAACAAAGAGTAGCTGAAGCCTGATGTTTTTCTCCATTAGACACAGAAGCAGCATTTCCCTGGACTCAAAACAGCCTCCTTGTGATAAAGAGCTGCTCCAAACAAGTGTGGATGGCAAACGGCCATGTCTACCTGAACCGAGTTACAGACCAAACTGGGGCTGATGTTACAGGGCCTGCTGAGTCCGAGATAAAACATCAGCTTCCCTGGGTCCTGTGAACGCTGCCCTGCCAGGTATCTGGAATAATTGAGACGCATTTCTGCTGTCTTTAGCCTCATGAGAGGAGACACATTAGTCAGGCCTGTATGCAAACATTTCAAGACTTTAAAGCATGACTATTCTCTTATAACAATACCTTAATTACTGATGATGAACTCATAGGAGCCACCTGACACAAACAGAAATCTCAGCAGAAAGTTAAAACCAAGATGAAATCCATGTTGGCCACTTATGACTGTGGTAGTTTGAAGGAAATCTGACCTCTCATTACGCTTCAAAACTCAGATTTCTCCCATTTACTGCAACCCTAATTAAGGACAGCACTTAACCACATACCTAAAGGTAAGCATGTACTTAAGTGCTTTTCTCAATCAGGGCCTCTGTGAGTCATCCCATTTTCTTCAGTGGGGCTACCTGCAGAGCAAGGTATTTCTCAGTGTAAAGAAAACAGAATCTGGCCTTAAATAAATGCAATCTATGGACCTAACCCTTCAAACATTCACTACTGGGAGGAGTGCTTGCAGTCTCATTCAGGTGAATGGGACTACTGACGGTAGTAAACACTAACTCTTCAATAAATGTTTGCCGGATTTGGCCCGATACTTGCACTAGCATTACACTAATACACATATGCAGTTGATTCCTTTTTTTTATTAAAAAAGAGAGAATGACCCTGCTCACCTATATGTTCTAATAAGGTAAACTGTAAAAATAAATAAATAAATAAATAAATAAATAAAAATAAAGAAGGCCAGTTTTAATCCTTTGTAAACATTGCAAGTTTTCACTCTGGCATGGAATCCAATTATTTGCAGAAGTATGTGCATAGCAACAGAGAGAGGAGAGGAGATGGTTGTAAAGAAAGGGAGGGAGAGAATGAAGACTTAAAAAAAAATCCCACAAAAGCAGAAAACCCTAGGAGGGTGGTGAATCTGGTGTTTTATAAGATGATCTTAACCAACATGGGAATGATCTACACAAGGGGAGAATAAGTGGCTACGTGGGACAACTACTGTAAAGGATCTGGGGCGTTATAGTGGATCACAAACTGACTATAAGCCAACAATGTGATGCAGTTATGAAAAAAAGTGATCATCATTCTGGGTGCCTTAACAGAAGTGTAAGACAAGGGAAGTCGCTGTCCCACTCTACTCAGCACTGGTGAGGCCTCAGCTGGAGTACTGGTGTCAAGGTTTGGGTGCCACCCTTAAAGAAAGAAGAGGACAAATTGGAGAGAGTCCAGAGGAGAGCAATAAAAATGATAAAAGGTTTAGAAAACCTGACCTATGAGCAAAGGTGAAAAAACTGGGCACATTTACTCTGGAGAAGAGAAGTCAAATAAGTTAAGGGCTGTTATACAGAGGACTGCTCAATTGTTCTCCATGTCCACTGAAGGTATGACAAAAAAACAACGTGCTTAATCTGAAGCAAGACAGATTTAGGTTAGACATTAGGGAAAAAAACATTCTAGCTATAAGGATAGTTAGGAACTGGAATAGGCTTCTAAGTGAGTTTGTGGAATTCCCATGATTGGCTGTTTTTAAGAACAGGTTAGTCAAACACCTGCCAAGGAGGGTCCTACCACAGTGCTGGGTTAGATGACCTCTCCAGGCTCCTTCCAGCTCTATACTATATACTTTCCAAGATTCATAGAATTCTAAGGCCAGAAGCTCCACTAAGATCATCATAGAATATCAGGGTTGGAAGGGACCTCAGGAGGTCATCTAGTCCAACCCCCTGCTCAAAGCAGAACCAATTCCCAACTAAATGAAGATCTAGTCTGATTTCCTGCATCACATGGGCTGTACATTTACAACTAGTAATTTGTGCAAGAAATCCAACAACATGTTGGCACTAGATGCTCAGGTTATTGGGGGCGCTATAAATTCCACTAAATTGGTGGATTAGGTAGAATTCTAGTAAGTGTATGGATGCTTTCTTTCCCCTTTTTGCCTGATTATTATCTGCATGGAGATACTTGGATGCCAGACAGTCATTGATATCTAGTGACAATGAGGTGGCACAGAAAGTGTCAGGAGTTTACCTACAGCAAGCCTGTTCATCCACTAGATTAACACCCAAGCAGTTTACAAGTGCAGGTGGGCCCCATTTGAGCTGCCTGATTGGCCAAGCCACCCGATTGACTCAGGGGAGTAGCACACCTGCTCTTAAGATCAACAGCAGCAGCACACTCGCTGCTGAAAGCATTCATCCATGACTGTGACAACTCCTGTGTCTGCTTCTTCCCAGCCTTGCTCCAGTCCTGCCTTTCCTTTTTCCCAGCCTCACGGCACTCCAGGTAACTTGGTTCTGACCCTAGGCTCTGATTTCTGACCCTAGGCTCTGATTTCTGACTTTGACTCTGACCTCTGACTCCAGTTCTGACCCAGGGTTCAGACTCCTGATTCCAGCTGTGACCCTTCATTCTGGCTACTGATTCCAGCTCAGACCATTAGGCATTACCTCCATATCCTGCTCCCTAACAGAAGGTCAACACCAAGAACTGATTTCAAGTCTAGACGAAAATACAGTTCCAATGCCTTATAGCAAGACCTTCAAGCCCTGAAAGTCTAAGCGTTTGTGATCAGTAATTTGTGCATCCTTTCAGAATGTTGTGATCAGTTCTATGAAGATAGAGAGAGAGATGGAAAAATCACTACACATTCAAGTGCTTTACAGAACTCACCCCAATGCTTGCAAGTAAGGCATGCAACACATTGCCCTAAAACCTCATCCCATGCCTGCTGTGCATCTCAAAGCAGTAATCCATGTCAGCCAAAGTCCCTCGGGTTTTCTTCCACATTCCCCAAAATTAACACCACATGGGAGGGATTTTCAAAAGCTCTCAGCACTAACTCTGCTGCCATTGAAGTCCATGGGAGTTTTACCGCCGACTTCACTGGGGACACAGATGTGAAAACACTGAGCGTCTACGAAGTAGAGCCAGTTGGGGATTTTTCAACAAAATGATTTTTTTGCTGGAAAATGTCAAGTCAACAAAACTCAAACTCTTTCCAGGGATGTCCTGGGTTAGACAAAACTTGCTTTGAGAAAGGTTTCCCAGATCCAGGAATTTCAAGGTGAGGGCAAGGGATAAGGGGGGGATGGGGGAGAGAGAGAGAGAGAGACCCCAGAATAGCCAATAGCCTTGTCAGTAGGGTACTCAGAGAGAGCAAAGATTTGAATCCAAATCTCCTACATCCTAGGTGGATGCCCTAACTAACAGGCTACTCTTGGAGGGAGGCAGGAAATCTCTTTCAATCTCTCATTTTTCACTGAAAAACTTTGAATGGTCTCAGTTTCATCCTAAAATGGAATGGGGAAAAATTCTAAACTCTCAGAAACATTCATGGGATGGGAAAACCATTCCCCATCCAGCTTTAATTTGAAAATCCCACTCTAAATGCAATAACCATTCCCACCGCACTGCTGGTAAAGTCATTGTAGAGCCAACAGAACAGTGGAGAACTAACCGGCTGATGAAGACGGAGATGGAATGGAAACATTAGTCAATTGCTACATAATAGTAATAAAACCAACGTGCACTGTAGTGGCAATACTGCCCTTCAAGAAGTGCAATAAAGTGCACTAATTGGCTAACCATACTTGGCTTTCAGAGCTTTGTGTTAGTACATGTAGAAGTACATTGTGTGGGTAACTGATATAACCATACACAAGATCAAACGTTAACAGAATTAAATTAAAAGTTTAGGAAAAACTTCCTTAAAAGATGAGAGGTGTTAGAACTATGAAACAGCCTCCCCAGAGGTGTGTTGGAAATCCTATCAACCGAAACATTTAAAATAGGTCTCGACAAAGCACTAGCAAATGTAGCGTAGGGAACAAACCTGCACTGACAGGTGGATTGCACTGATGACCTGACAGAACCTTCTCATCTTCCTCTGTGATTGCTCATTAATTCTCATCGAGATTGTTATTACAGCTGTTCTGAGCTATTCTCCAGGGATCTGACCTTTAATGCAACATGCCTTCTCTTCTCCCCACTGGAGCCTGTGGAGATGGCACGTTTACTACAGGTTTTCTGTCACCGGCTTTGAGTGGAAAAAGCATGTGGGTTTGCCATCGGTCTCTGACATAACTGTATTTTAGAGAGGTTGAAGTGAAGAGGAGGGAGAGGAGGCAGGAAGGAGATGGGGATACAGAGAAATTTATACCTACTTTTAAGAATTTTTTTAATCCATCGATGCACCTTCTCCTATGCTCAGTACTTTACCAACGGGGAGTCAAACCACTTCAAAGATCCTTGTTGATTTCTGCTCTTTGAGATATATTCCATTGTTTGCAATGGTGTAGGTCAGTTGGTCCCAGGATGTTAGAGAGAAAAGGTGGATGAGGAAATATCTTTTATTGGATGAACTTCAACAGACCTCAGGCCAATAAAAGATATACCTCACCCATCCTGTCTATTTGAGATACAGGTATTTGTTACCCTATATAGCACTAATGCTACTCATAAAATACACAGCCTCGGCACATTACATTGATAACAGAACAAGCTCACCAAGCAGCAACTTTATATATGAATGGGCGCAAATCACCACTTTCTTCACCCCAGCCCCTACAGCTACATTTCCTTCTCTTCCTCATACGCTGTATATTTTATGAATTGGTGACCAACCACTTGAGGCAGACCACAGCCTAGGTTTTATATAGTCTCAATTTTCTCGCTCTCTTTTTGCTCTTGCTTTTACAAAGACAGGGAAAAGAGGCAGTAGA